GCTGATTGGTGTAATCTTAGAAAAACACTCTATAGTGTTCATAAAATCTTAGGCCAATTCCTGGCAAGTGAAAAACACTCAAATCTTACCCCCTAGTACTGTCACTGCAAGTCTGAAGTCCTTGTTTTATTTAATTAGAAAAACCTTTGGCAAAATGCCACACTTTACATAATTTCTATTCTATTCTATTCTGTTCTATTCTATTATTTCAGAGCATTCTTTTACTTCAAAGCTTTAGGGAACTAAAGCATTTTTAGTACATATCAGTGAAAATTATTTGTAATTATCATGTAAGTTGTTACAATGAATCATTTCTTAATATAAGTGGCAGTATTTTTCACTAGAATTTTAACATTTTTCTAGAAGTTTGTCTTCACAATTATTTATCTTCAATTTTCTAAATCAGACAAATTCATCTTAAACTATCATATATTCAAATTAATAGAGTCTAGATGCCTTCTAATATACTTTGGAAATTTCAACTCATACATTTCATGGGTAGAATTTCATGAACATCTTCAAGTGTGTAGTTCTTGTTTAAGCTGCCAGAAGCCTAGTAATTCTTAGAAAACAAGTTAGTTACATGACTGAACATATGTAGAGTTTGGACAACAAAGACCTTAAAATTTTAAAGATGACTACAGGAGTGTTTTTAAATCAATTTATGAAAGTGAAAGCAGGCACTTACTTTTCTGTTTAGTAATTTCCATTTTATTAAGTCCAGAAGACTTGTTAGTGATTATTTTATAATGTATCTTTTTAAATGTATCTTATGAAAAATTATTCTAACATCTTTATTAGCAATAAATGATGTTGAAAATTTTGAGGTAATCTTACATTTTATTAATAAAAAATGCTGCAAGATGTTTTGAGGAGCCTAAAAATGAATTTAAAATATATTTAAAGTGATATCCTAAATGTTGATTTTTTAAATTTAGTAATTTTATGTCTTGTACCCCAAAAATTAGCCCCAAAATGGTGTCCAAAAAATGGGGTAAGATGTATTTTTTTAAAGAAAAAGGAGCACTTTTATTTATCCTGTCACCAGTGATGGTGCAGTTGGATTTTGCAAGGCTTTGTGTCTGGCTTAAAATTCTTACAGACTTTTGTAGAAAGAACATTACAAAGTAAATGGTTTATGGGTGTGGATCAGAAATGAGGAAATCTTTGGTCAGCTAAGGAATGAGGCAGACCTTTGTTTCCCTTTGCTTGAGGACAGAGAAGATTCCCAGGAATTTACAATCTTCTGCAGAGGGGAACAATGGTTAACATATCAATCAGGTCACCCACGAAGATGGCACCAACAGGATAGTATGACAGCGCTACAGCTATTTTATAACAATGTAGTCAGTGCCCCAAGGTGTACAGTTGTAGAAAATAGTTGTGTTTGCCAAGGGAATTAACAGGTAATTTGGTCATATAACTTGGGCATTGGCAAACATAGTATAGGATGAAGAAGCTCTTTTTGCTAGTGTACAACATATGGCTAATTGAATATTACTGTTTTCTCATGGATGATACTTCTCATGATCATGAAAATTTTATAGCATGTCTTGACATAGAGACATCCTAAGTAGAAATAAAAGTTGTATCATAAAAGTAACAAGCCTTCCTAGAGAATGAATCCAATTATAAAATTCAGTTGTTGTATTTTCCACAAATATCCAATGGGATTGAAAAACTCTAATTATTTTAACATTTCAGTAGAAACTAAAATAGAGCTCATTAAAAGAGTAAGGAAGAACCTGATAGAATTCTGGCATGGCTGAAAAGATAAGAAGTATGAAATATAAATGATCAGAGCTGGGGATTTAGCTCAGTGGCATAAGCGCCTGCCTTGCAAGCAGGCAGTCGTGAGTTCGATCCAAGGTACCAATAAAAAGGAAAAAGACAAAAAAAAAAAAAAAAATGACCTTTATTTTAAGAATGTGGGGAGACCGCCCTGACCCTCCGGGGTCTGGCATTGTGGGGGGGGGGGGGCTGGCATTCTCTCCGTTGGACATGTGGAGTGGGGGCATACATGAAGCTTAGGTTTGAGGTGGAGCCTAAGGGGCATTACTGATGCACAGGTAGCCCATTGGTATTCATTTCGCGCTACAGGTAAGTCACCTAGGGGCGGGAAAAGCTGACCTCAAGATAGAGCCCCTTGGTTCTGCCTCCAAGGCTTTACTGTCTACAGTATCCCAACTGGGCCAAAATCCTTTCAGAACCAAAGTTTTCAACCCACATAACTCTTAGAAACAACTTTCTCTACCTTCTATATCTATCTTCCGTGTTTTCCATCCAGCTGCTAAAATTAGCCACCATGTGGAAATTAAAACCCATGTAGCTCAGACCATAGCAGTAAATCTGGAGCACATGGTCCTGAGTGAATTGTTACACCTCTGCCTAAAACCTTAGGATTTTATTAATAGGCTTTACCTGAATAAGGGAAATTATAGTGACAAATGAACAGCAAACATTCATGCAGATATCAAAACAGTATGTTATTTCTTTTTCACTGTGTTATTCTCATTATGACATTATGCTGTGTGTCAGATACCAGACATTTCAGTGTGTATATTCATTTATAGTTTTTTCTCTATTCAAGCATTGAAATATGATTAAATGAGAATTGAGTTCTACATCCTAGTTAGATTTTTCAGTGAACTTTCAGGAACCATATGTTGAGTTGCTTTGTTTTTTGTTTAAGACTATTATTATTTTATATATGGAAGAAATTTTATTGGTTTTCTATTTAACATCATTCAACATTTTCATTTGCTATTTGAAAAAGGGAAAATAAAAGAACCAGATAAGAAAATGAGAACTAATCTCACGTTTTCCGTATAGTGGTACTACAGCAGCTTCTGCTTCTTTGCTCTATCCTGTGTAATCTTTATTTTTAAATCATGGTTATCAAACTAAAATTCTTGAGACTAAGAAATCTCTGAAAGGAGAGTTTATTGAGCCATTACAGATGCTAGGCAGAAACGGAAAGGACACAGTCCTGGGACCAATATCTGCATCTACTAGAGCTAGGCGTAGTTAAAAAAATTGGGGAAAGAAAAGCACTGTGCTCATTAGAGATGAAGATAAGAGGGGTGAACACTGCAAAGCAGGAAGGTTTGTGATAGGATGGCAATTAATAAGCACAGTTACTGTTGTTGCTGAATTGATTGTGTTGTACAGTTCACAATGTTTACCTGTAAACACAACAGGCAGTCCTAAGTGGTTGGCCTTGGTTTAAGGTTTTAAAACATACTAAAAATGTTTAAAAAAACCCAAAAGGCTACTTTTTCTTATTGACCTGCATCTTGCTTGTTACTGATTAATGTCCCAGTCGCAACACTTTCTATTTCTCATCTTCTATTTCTAGCCCTTTGTAATTTAACTAGAACATTTCAGAAATTTTCTGTGATTGCTGTCCTATAGATCATTCACACACATCCATGTTTTTATAACTTCAGTCAATCTATGCCTTTGAGGTTTTTGTTTTGTTTTGTTTTTTTCCTTTTGAGACAGGGTCTTGCTATGCAGTTCAGGCTGGCATTGAGCTCACTTTGTAGCCCAGGCTGATCTTGAGCTTGCAACTCTTGTAATCCACAAATGAGCCCCCCAGAGCCCAACCTCAAGTTTAAAAATGGGCAAGACATGTTTTAAAAAAGCAGTGCTGACTTATTTTATCCTGGGCCCAGCGACACAGTGCAGTTGGAATTTGCAAAAACTGTGTGTCTCTCCCAAAACTTTTCAGATCTTTTGTTAAGCACAGTTTATAAAGTAAGGGGTTATGGGCATGGATCAGGAAATCTGCTAAGGAAACGTTTCCTTTAGCAGAGGACAGAGTACTCTAGCAGTAATTAACAATCCTTTGTCAGCTTATTTTAGCACAACAGGTGTTATTTGTAGAGGGCAACAATGGCTAACATATCAATTAGGTTATGTTTTCAGGGATTTACAATTCTTTACAGAGCGGAGCATTGATTAATATACCAATTAGGTCACCAAGAGGGGGGAAAAACCATACAGAACAGTATGTTGACATTACAGGTACTTTGGTCATATAAACATAACGAAGCTCTTTTTGCTAGTGTACCGCAGCAACAATCCCCTTGCTTCAGCCTCTCCAGTGCTGGGATTATAGGCATGTGCCGCCATGCCCCGCAAGTTTTTTTTTTTTTTTTTTTTTGGTATTGGTGATCCAACTCGCGATCTTGCACTTGCCAGACAGGTGTTTATGCCACTAAGTTAAATCCCTGGCCTCAAATTTGTGTTTTATGTCACTAAAAACATAGGATGTTGAGCAAGCAAGACAGATACAGTTCTTGTGTTTAGGGGATTTTAAATCTTGCTTGGAAGACATTCACAAACAAACGATGATTTGATTACTTTATCTAATTATAGATGTAATAAAAGACAAAAGAGCTCTAACCGGGGTAGGAGTGGAGGTCCAAGGTGCAGCTGTTGCATAGCTGCCTGCAGTTCTGAGTTATATTGTCTGCACTGGGTGAGAAAAAAGAAAACTAAAAAAGCTTACAATAGAATTTGGCTAGGGTGGGGAAAGGGCAGGAAAGGGGTGGGTAAAGTGGGAAGCTTTCCTACTTTGTTTAATGAATGTTTGCATATGAATGTAGCATTCAATCAAAGAATGGGTAGGAAATAGCTTGAAGAAGGGTGTGGGTGGGGTCGGGTGGGGGCTGGACAGAAAGATGGACCGGGAAGTAATCTGGTGACAGCAGAGTATTTAGGAAGAAAGTAGTTGTCTCAGCAGTGTAGCAGAGACATTGACACAACAGGTAGGTAAATACAAACATGATTGAGACTCGGTTTGTTACTTCTCGGAGCTCTTTCTTTATATTATACCTTGTAGACATTAAGTGATGCTTAAGTAATTGCTGTGATCTTCATTTGCAGAGTCTTTGTCATGAAATGTTTTCATTTTCATTCAGCGATATTGCCATTTTATTTTTTGTTAAGCGGGTGCTCATGTGTTCAGCGTCATTCTCTGATTTGTTTTCCAGTGTTCCAACATTCCAGAGCCTTCCTGAAGAGATCCTTAGCAAGCTCGCTGATGTCCTTGAGGAGGTAACTGTTTTGCCTTTCAGCATTTTGGTACAGGACCCAGCCTCCTAGGCTGACTTTTTTCACAGCTGTGTGATGACAAGTCACTAGCCACAGAAAGACTTTTTCAATTTGTTTTTTAAGCTCTCGGATAAGCTATACATTTGGTTTAAACTAAAAAAATAGTTTAGCACACCTGACATTTATATTACAGCGAGAAGCTGGCAAATCAGTTTAACTAGAGAGGAAAAAACTTTCTGTTGCCGTATGTTATTTTGACTACTAAGAATGGGAGATGTAATATTTTGGTCGTATTTCAATGAATATAAAATAAATTTATGGTTACTGGCATCCTAAAGCTTCAGGTTAGCAAATTTACAACAGAAATTAGCAGTCGCATACATATTTTGTTAGATGTAAGTGTATTTTACATACATAATTTCAAGCTTGAGTGTGGAATGTGATTTAGTTTTTGTTTGGTTGGTTTTTGCTTTTTTCTGAGTGTATACGAAGCCACAGTTTTGAGAAGGAGGAGAAACAATGCTATTCATTCATTAGACTACTCATCCTTAGGCCACCTCACTGAGATTCCCAATTGAGCAGTAGTGGAAGGAATTTCTTAAATTTATGAGATTCATACCAAATTTAAGGAAGACAAGTTTTAGTGGCAAAACTTCTTTTCGAGATATTGGGTACATGAGGTTTTTAAAAAAATACTGTTTCACTTTGTTGAGGAAACAGATAGTTTGACAGGAATGAAGAAACCTATTTTTGAGGGCAAAACTGTCAGCCCTAAGCAGAATACCCTTGCTCAAGTGAGAAACATGGAAAGCAGAATTTATATAAATCATACTCAGCAAAGAATAAAGAAATTTAGGAATTTGGAAGAGTAGTCATTAAACTGGGCAAAATCATGACCATCAGGAAATGCACTAATGGGGTTCTAGGAGTTTTCCCAAAAGAGAAGGTGGAAATATATAGTACATTCACAACTCTTAGTGTATTCTGGTGCAATAGAGAAGTAAAAGTACAAAATGGACAAGCTTATTGAGTTGAGAACCTAGGAAGGGACACACAACCCCTGGTGGCTGGGCTGTCTCTTTCAACGAGATACAGAGAGCCAGAGAATTACATCACCTCTGATTGAAGTGGCGCAGAGGTGCGGACATTGATGAACTGATTGAGGAACTGATTGGAGTTCTCTGAGCGTGTACACAGGATGGGGAGTTGCAATTAGGGCTGAAAAAGAAGCAGGGTGTGGTAGGCGTTCCCGCAGGTTAGATCACCGCCATAACTGTACAGTAATTTATACTAGGGCAAGAACCTTTCAACAACATATAGTAAGTACATGATCTCTTATCACTGAAAATAATTTGGAATATTGCCTATAAGAGATATAGGCAAATTTTTTAAGCAGAGTTAGAAAGGAAGGGAGAAGAGGGAAAGAACTCTAGTATGAACAGCTGGAGGGGGCTCATGCTGATAAAGATGTTCTAATAGCCCCACTGGCCAGGCGGTAAGGCTGCACCGGCTGAGACAGACTAGCGTCCAGTTGGTTATTTCTATTCTGGCTTTGCATTTACACAGCTCCGGAGAAATTCTTATGGCTTGAGAGGAAATTTGTATCTCAGGAGATGACTATTCTTGCTTAAGGGTTGGTCTGTTTTTCCTGGAACCTGAATTGATTACAGGTTTAAAACAATAGCTAGAGGCTTGTAGTTATGCTCCAGGGACCACTGAATCAGGACCTTGTAAATGCTGGCCAACTGGGTTCCCTGTAAATCCTGAAAATTACTTCAGTTATTCTTATTGTGGTGCCTTCTGTCATGAAAAAGAGACAGAGTCAGTAAATGTAGGGCTAAAAATCCTTGTAAAACAGGTACTCTTTGAGTCATAAGCATGCTATGTGCAGAGCTAAGTGGGGATATGACCAAAATTTTTAAGATAATAAGGGGGAAAAAACCTTGAATTTCCTTAATTCCTTGTCCTTATTTCTTCTGCCTTACCTCAAGGGCAAAACATATCTAAAGTGACACAGGAGCTGCAGATCCTGTGCCCTGTAGTTACTGTGACTGTGCCTTAGCATGAATTGGAAGCCACTGGACAGCTCTAAACAGAACAAGAAGATAATTTGACTTGCATTTTTTGACAAGATTGCTACGACTGCTCAAATGGGAAACAATTAAGGAGACTGTTGTCATAATCCATAGGGAAATGATGGTGGCTTTTTTCTGTGTGGCAAAGAAATTGAAAAGTAGTCAGGTTTTTGTTTACCTTGATGGTGAAACTGAGAAATTTTAGTGTTGGGTTATATGAGAGGAAGTCAACAAAGCAAAAAAACGGAGCATACCTCAAGGGTTAGGTCATGGATGATGGAAAGGATGGAGTCATTAATTGAAATGAAGTAGAGTTTGGGTGGGATGCATTGGGGTAAAGAAATGACAGTCTCATCAGAGAAGTAGGATGCTAGGAAAGCAGAGGCTTTGAAATCTTCAGCAAGCAGGAAGTGTCCAGGAAGCCTGAATGGCAGCGAGTCATGGACTTCATGAATGTCATTCTGGTGGCCCAAATATGGAGGAATACTTGGTAGAACATTGAAGCAGGTAGCAGCCAACAATGCTTATAATAGCAAGAATAGATCTTCAAAGCAGTGCTGACAGAAAACAAGCAAATAAAAAGTATATTTACCGAATTATTGTCTACAAATTTAATAGGCATGAACATATAAATATATTTTGCTTAGGGACATTAAAAAAGTACAAATTGGATACATGTGAATGTTTCTTGTAGCATCAGGTGGAGAGGAAAGCTGCAGATAAGAGGGAATCCAGAGTGAATGAAGGAATGAAGAGCAAAGGATACAGCAGAGCCTTGATTGATCTTTAGTATTTCTAACATAAGAGAATAAAATGAAGAGGAAACAGTGAAAACTTGTAAAAATTGGAGAAAGACAAAAGCATTTTGTGCCTTGAAATTTAAAGGCGGTGGTTTTAGGAAGAGTAAGCAAAACCTTGCTTTGAATTTTGTAGAAAAAGCAAGAAGAGAAATGGGTTTCATAGGTGAGAATGGGAAGGCAGGGCCAGCGGGAGCCCAGGAAATACTGTAGAAGCAGGCCACAGCAGGCTGTGTGCGCATCCTCTTGCATGGGTGTAAGAAGGTGTACTCTTCAGTGCTCCTGAGAATGGGAGGGGCTCAGAGCATCCGGGCCTTGTGGGAAGCTGAGCTGCTGGGGTGACTGGGCTGCAGAAAGCCTGTTCTATTTCCAGTGATAGACAGAGCAGGGACATCCACTGAGTAATAATGAATAGAGGACTGAGTGGTTTAAAGAAAGCAAAGGTACAATGTCCTGACCAGGTATCATCAAGTCCCCACCTGAAGTTAGCAAGTCACAATCCAAGGTAAACGGGTAAGGAAGAGTTTTATTCAGAGCTTTAGTAACAGGGAAAAGAGACTCAACTTCTTGAAAAGAAACGTGAAAGGGCATTTGGTGCTGGGATGAGCTAGTGGAAAGTTATTGGAGGAACTCTTCTACAAGGGTACTCCACTAGGGAGTTAGGTTGCTCAGTGCGATTAGATCATCTTTGTTTACTAATTCCACATGGAAGTTAGGCTCCTGTGCTCCCTGGAAATTGCAAGTAAGGCAGGCCATCTCCTATGTTTAGATTTTCACAGATCCTTGAGAAAGAATATTCTTAGAGACCATTAAATCTCAAAGTGGCAGATTAAAGAATTTATAATTTTTCTGTTACTGAAAATGAAATACTGGGGCACTTTAGCACTGAGTTACACCTTTAAGCTCTTTATTGTGACACAGGGTCAAGCTGAATTGCTAAGCCTGACATTGAACTTCAATCTACCTGCCCCAGCATCTAGAGTAGCCATAAGTACAGGAAGGTGGAACCCCACGTGTTGTAGACCACATTTTTTTCTTCTTCTTTTTTTAAATTAACTCCTCTTAGAAAAGGGACACTGGACCCCTGAGCTGGAAGGCTGTATAAAATTTAGTCAAACTGAACGGGACGGTTAAGTCCATCTTGGCTCCAAACCTATATGATTGTTAAGCTTTGTTTTCATGGTTCCAAGTTTCAGGTATGTAAAGAATTCACTTTAACCTGGATTCTTATTTTGCCCAAGAAGAGTTGCTGAGGGGGGAATAGGGAGTTGAGGATGCATGGGAAAAAAACAAGGATAATGGTCCACTGTGAAATTTAAGCTGGGTAAAAAGAGAGAGTCCTGGGGTGCTTGAAGGCCAGTGGGAGGCCACAACATCACTGCATTTTGGTCAGTTGAAGTTAGAGAATTTTTAGAGGTTTTCTGTAACTGAACTGAAAAGAGACTGAAAATGATTCATTCTCTAGGTACTAGCTATACAAGTAATCCTGTGATCCATTCACAAATTCTTAGTTTGAGGCTTATTGAAGTCAGCTTTCCTGTGATTTATTGGTCTCCTTCATCTCTGACCACAAAGTGAAGCGGAACATTGTTGCATTTGAATTCTATGTCCCAGTATAAAAAAAAAAAAAAAAAAAAAAAAAAAAATTCACAAGAAAAGCACTGGCTGTATTTCTTTCTGAATGTGCTGACCTGAAACCTTTGTAAATGTAAAATGCTTTTCCCAGTTGGTCTTTTGCTTTTTGCTAGTTTTGTAGAATGTATTGAAGAACTCTTATGACCTTGTCCATGTGGGTATGTTTTTAAAAACAAATCAAACTAAATACAAATCCATTAGCCACAATCAACCCCCTTTTAAAAAAAAACTAGAATCCATGAAATCCTTTAATCATTTTCTTTCTTTGGAACAGCTGTGAAAGCATATGCTGTTTTATGTAACAATAGCCATAAGTCTATAAATAATTTTGACCATAGAAATAGTTCTGTACTTTATGTCAGATTTTCTAATCACAAGATGTTTTAATTTATGCTTAGCATGTATGAACAGCAGCACTGTCTATAGCAGTGATGACTGAAAATCAAAACAGATGATTTAGTAAGCACACATTTGTTTTCAGAACATAAAAATGAAG